GCTCAAGCAAAGTTTATTTAGGGCAACGTCATAAACCTGGCGGTAATTATTCTATCTATACATCGTAGTTTCAGCAGACAACGCATTTGAATGTTTAATTGAGGCAATCTACTATATACCCTTGTAACTCACCAATCTTGGAATATAAATTTTTCCATTGCTGCATCAACTAGTAACATGACCGAATAAACCGTGTGAATGCGCATAACTTCTGAGTGGAAGAGAGTTCCAAGCAGTGCGTTGTTTCCTTCCAAAAGCAATCTGGCACATTTTGGCAAGCACCAGCTTTAAGTAATATCCACTGAAGCGATTGAGCAACTTCGGAATCCGCATGGAAGCAAAACGTCAGTGGGAAAACGACATGGATAAGTCGATGGAATATTTTACATGCTAGGATCAGAGCTCCTTTTATTCAGTGACGATGAAGTGAGCAACTTGCCAATAAATACAATCACACAGCACAGATCGTGAACTGTATTTCCTGGAAAACTTTGATTGCTATTCTTTGCGACATTCGGGGGTCTTTGACGGTGATTCGGTTGTCGGTTCCAGCCCTGAGCGGAGTACTCGATGTGCGGTCTAATGTATATTACCACTAAATTGGAAAATAACATCATTTCGAAAACGTATGAGTTGGCCAACTTGTTCTAGGGAATTATGCTTCTGAACAGTGTCGACTTTCTCAGTCCTGACGAATTGAAATTTCCAAGATCTACTCTGTAGGAAATGACGGCTGATTGATAAAGGACATGTGTAAAGCGCCCTTGTGCCACTGACATAAATTTACGCCCTGACGTCGTAGTCAAATTTCGCGTCTTTGAAGCGAATTCATCGACAATTGGAGTCGAGCTTTTCCTCAAGGGATATAGTCATAACACGTCATCTTTATCAAACAGTAATGTTCATGGCCATTAATTATGTGGGTGAATGATCATAAGAGCTAGAAGAATGTATGGCGTGGGGTTGTATCCCTACAGAGCCCCACAGATCAAAACGGTGAATTTAATTCTATAGACCGGCCATGTTCTGTCGAAAAAAAACAGTCACTCCACGAAAAGCGCACGCGCATAGCCTATTAATCGGTATTTTCTGGTTGATCATATCAAAGTTTTAAAGACTTCCAAAAAGATTACGTTCACTACATCTAATGTGATAGTTATTTTTATCCACCGTTATCGTTAAAACCGGTGCGTGAAAATGCATGGTTAATGATTGTACACGGAAACTCAAACTGAGTAAAACAGTGACGCGTAGCTTTTCTCTGTTGTAGTCCATATTGACAGACAGTCAGATTTCAAATACTACCTCTCAAAATATACCGCAATTGAATTCAGCAGGTTTGACTGCGAAGTTCAGAACAGAACAGAACACACGTGGAAAATAAAGTGTTTGAAGAATGTTTGGACTTAAAGCAATAACTGCACAATCAGCACTCAGGGAGGAAGCTTGTGGTCATACAAAGCCTATCTGGGGAAATGCAGAACTAAGGAAAACTCGCGGTGGTCGCAGGACTCGAACTCAAGACCCACGGGCCATTACTTTGATGATTCTGACCACCCGATCATCGCGGCTCTGTTCTACTCTGGATTGGATGTGATTTTCGAAACTGACCTAGGTGGACCGTATGTGGTAACGATCCTCAGATGATGCTGTGGTGCTCAAGTATTAGATCAATTCCATTCAGCAACTGGTGCTTCGTGGTAAATACAGCTCCCGTATCGAAATAACTAATTTAAAGCAATCTGCGGATACATAGGCGGTCGGATTCGTCCTTAAGTCTGATTCAGGTGACAGCCATTCATCAAGTTCGACCCTATAATTCAGTGGTTCTACTAGTCAGAATTCATGATTCTGAAAAGTGGCCATCACAGAGTATTATATTTTTCACAATTATTCGACGTCGAACAATAAAACTATGGGCACGCTAATTCTGCAGCAACTCAGGATCTTGAGATGTGATGTGTAGGTCTAAACGGTAGTGTCAAGCGAAATGTGTGACACGCTTTGTCTTCTGCTGGTGCTCGTCTATCACCGTAAGAGCCCAAGAGATGTTTCACTGAAATGCAACAAAGTGATAGACTTTACCCACAACGACACCAAGCTTAAACTGTTGTTTTGATTTGGTCCCNCAGGATGATTCGACTTGAGGCCATAATTTGATCAGTTTGAATACGCAAAATAAAAACGTTTCCTATATCCGCCACGGTTTTCTATTGTAGTGTCATGTGCATGAAACCAAATCTCTTTCGTGCTCTTTCCATCTCATCCCGGTTCTACTCAGGAGTGAGAGCAGGTACAGTAGCTACGCACTGTATCACGTGTATCAATATTAGTACAACAAACAAGTTCACGGAGATCACCTATAAGGGGAGGATAACACTGATCGATCTAGCCGAAGGAGACAAAACTCAACGTCCACCTCCACCAGGAGAGATCACAAAGGTGAGACTTGCGGTAAACTAGTCCGAATAACATTTCACGAATTTGTTTCACTTGTGGTTGGGCACAAATCTATACAACAAAAATGTACAACTACGAACTTTCGTCGAACTGCTGAATGGAAACCATATCAGGTGGCATTACGAACTCAATTCACAGTTAGATATGAATCATGTTGTGCCATTGGATGCGCCAGGTCAATGAAGAAAACATTTGACTGAAGGGGAGCACCATCACGAGGATAAATCGAAACACTGTGAAACTTCAGCGTGTAGATCATAGTTCCGGTTAACAACAAAAGCGTGTACCTTTCTCTAACAACACTTTTAATTTACTAACTACGTATCGCGTAATCAAACGTGTCATCTTTGACTCTGCTCTCGACATTCCATTTGTCCTTCTGCTCTTCTTTCCAGATGGACAGCCTAAAGTTAGCAACCAAAACCGGCGCGTCAAACTGCGAGGTTAATGATTGTAAAAACTGAGCTGAACATAATACAGCAAAATTCCTTGTTTCGTTGAAAAGGTTAACATATGCCGATTTACAATGTCAGTTTTGCCACTACTAGCTGGGAAAAGGCCAGCGTAGAAAAACAGTTAAATAAATAAAACCGGAGATTTTCGCGCGTTCATTAAGAGCCGAAGGATGCATATGGATGCGGTACTGCTTACAATTATTCGAATTATAGAAAAATCGTCTCCGATTCGGAGAAACACATTCGAATGCTGAACCAGACCGAAGAAGGACACGAATGAAGAATAGGAACATCCAGTAGAACTGTGGATTCCACTGAACCAATTTGAATATGTCAAGAAAAAAATATCAGGCAGTAGGGAAATTTTCAAGACTAATCAGGAAATGAACGCGAACATAACAACATAAATCGATACAGATGGCTGTACCAAAAACTTGATCACGAGGTTTAATTTTTTTAAACACGAAGCCCGATTATGACTCTATACAGCCAAACTGACAAATATTCCTATTTAGTTCAGTTACTTGTAGGTAGTGGTGTTTACTATTGTTTCTGACAAGTCACCTTTCAGATTTTATCTTCTTGCACCATCGACTCGCTCAGCCAACAATCATTCCGGGGACGCCTTAAACACCAGTTGCGCCATCGTTAGAGCTATCAGCAGACCACAACAACCTGCCCGTTTGAGATTTGATCTCTAAACAATTCACAGGAAGGTTGTCTGCTACCACCCAGGTCACCCTAAGCAGAATTATCGACCGAAGCTTTCTCAGAGGTTTGCTCAACAACAGTTTTTCAGTTCATCTGACCCATGTGTGTGTATTGCTCAACTCAATGGTAAATACTCCACGACAAAAGGACAACAGAATACTAGAATGGAGATAACTGGCCCTGGTGTATATGCATGGGCTCCAAACGCTTTACCCGAAACATGAATAAGGCTTCTCTCCCGGTTAATTAGGGAACTGACTACGACTGCCAATCTGTGGACCTGGCACACAGATATGAAAGCCATGATAAATGACCCGCGTCTGGAGCCATTAGGCTTTCAATTTGATGCAGATATCAATTATACTTAATTGTGCCTAAAGGCACTATGTTGAGTGCCATGCAAAGTGAAGGCGAAAATTCAATTTGATAACTTTCACAATCTTCTCCACTTGAAGAACTATTTATGGTATTGGTTCCTCGTGTGAGATTCTCCCATTGTGTGGGTATAAAGAGGGCGTAAGCTGAACTGATGCCACTAACGCTTGCCATTCTCACTTCGGGTTAAGTTCAAAATAATCTTTACAGAGATAACTAGAGCAAACTGGGATTACTCAACCCAACGATATGTTAATTTAATTAATGGCGCAAATTCCCACACACAAATAAGACTGAAATTTCCAAACATTTGCATAGCAAAGCATGACCCAATGTAATTGCATATTCCAGGAAACCCGTCATTTTGATGAGACACTACATGGAATCGGTGAGGTGATTCTAGCACTGCACATGTCACAAACGGCGACCAATTACCGGAGCAACAAATTGGCTACATTGTTACAAGAGGCGATTGGAGGTAATGCAAAAACGCTGATGATTGTGCACGTTAACCCAACTGAGGCCGCAGTCACCGACACTATTGCTGCATTGAAGTAAGTCTGTACCGCTCTGCATCGCAAACGTTTCGCACCGAACAATTTGCACATCCCTTTATTCGTTTGGCCGTATTGGTTATGTGGATTAGGGTCCCTATTAATGCCAGCAACTATGTTGTTACGTTGGCTATTGCTGTTAGGTGTCTCTTTAATATTAAATGGTCAAGGTAATTATACATTAAAGTTGCACTAAACTAAATGCATAAAAACGCGTATCGTTGAACTGGTGCAGGCGGGAAAACAGTGAATCAGTTAGATAGCGTGTTATCATCGAAAACCAAGCCGCGCGAGCCGAGATCTCAAAATCAGTTGAATTGAATTACCATTATAGAAATTCATTGGAAGGTGGCCTGGTTCGCCGCTACTTTTCTTAATGTGTAAAAATGGTACATTTGAACAAATCCCAGTTCATATTAGTGGAGTTTTTCAAAGTCGTTTTTCGTACACGATATGGTTTCGATTTACAAGGCTAGTTATCGACTTCTAACCGACGGTTCTGATGATTTGTAATGATTCAATTCTCCAAATAAATAAAATGAGGCTTTTAGTACACGCATGTGGTGTGGCGTACGGCACTAGTGAATCTTACTATCACTAGAACTCACTGTTCAATTATGGGAAGTTACGAAACTTAAAGTAGCCTACCATATAGGACTCCAACAGGATAAGTATGACATTGCGCTGAACAATAGTGAACCTGCCCTTCACCAATTATGTGGTTGCGACAAGGTTCAAACCTCCTGGGGTGTGGCAGCGATGTGACTTAAAGCGCTAGGCCACCACTATTCAGAAGGCTTTCCGAGACCGCTTGCGTAAAAACCAGTGAGTGATGTCTCTGTGAGGGGAGAGAAGAGTGGCTCCNNNAGTGGCTCGTTAGGGCCGGTACCGTCAATTCCACGGTAAGTGGTATATGCGTAGACTGAAGAAACACGAAGTAGACATCACAAGCAAGGTAAATAAGAAAAGTTGAAAGGCACTCGTACTGGTGCAGTTTAACACAAATTTCGTGAAGAAAAATCACTTGGAAGAAAACCCCTATCACTAGTTCTTTACTCCGTGACACTTGAAAACAACGCCCTAAAAATAAGTCTTCAGTTCATCGAAATCTTATCCATTTAGGAAGACCAAACAACGGTATCGAACAGACATCAAATAAACATCAATCTAAGCTATCCTTCTGCGCGTACATTCTTGGTAACGCATTTCTCAGTGCACAGCCAAACACTCAGATCAAATTATTAGACGCCAAAAAGACGAACGACTTTGCTTTTGTTTTACCCATTCTTTTTTGTCAGTCATGCCAGTCGCTTGAGGTCTGTGATCAAGGAATCGTCACGCATTTCGAACAGTGAACAGATTGCAAGACTGCGAAGCACACTGGAACGCTTGCGTACCACAGAGGGATGATTTTGTCACTGTACTCTAACTCTTGTTCATCTTCACCACCAAACCAACCTCCTGGAGAAAATCAGATGTGCAAACAACACAGGCTTCCATTCTGTTCCATTTGGGTTTTCTTTTATAATTATTCTAATTAAATTTATCAACCCCCCCCCCATCTTTCAAATGAGTTAAAGTTCAAATAAAAAGTGAACAAAGATAAACTCGAATTCACACTTGACCGAAAAACTAGTGACCCCACAGCAAAGTTGGGCGTGCCCGATTCACAGGAGAAAAAAGAAATACTGTACAATAGAATGCACATCGACATGTACACGGTCGGATTTTGTGCAATTATTATGCATAAAGAATAACGAAAGGGAAAGTAGTGTGAAAGCATTCTCTCTCAGCGTGATAGCTTGCTCTGAAGTGTTGGTAAATCGGGAAAGCGAAGCTCTTTGAATTTCTGTTGTAAATTCAGATCCCGAACAGCTGACACAGCTCTTGCTGGAGCCCCAGATAGACCAGTCTGTAGAAAAAAGAATTGAATAGCGAAGATTACTAAGCCTTGAAACACATAGAACGATTGGAGCTGGAAAAGGCAAATAATTGAATATAGTGTGTGCGTGTACCACAAATGCAAAGTCATTAACTACTTGTGCACCTTTGGAAACACCTCAGTCAATCAGTGAGAACAACTGTCTGATCAACATAACTTTTTGTGGCAGATTGCAAGCACAGTCCTGTGAATTACTACGCCGCTCTCCAAAGTGGTACCATATATAATGCAAACTTTGGTTCACCCAAGGATAGAGAATATATGCTTATCATCTGAATATGCGAAGTTGACAGTGTTCTGCTAAATCTCAAACATCCAACCGCAAGAATGTTTGCCACTTGTGTAAGGCACCGACTGCGAGCGACCGAGTAGTATAATAGCCCGTAACACTGATGCCAAGTAAACGAATGCAAACTTTAGATCTCCCTATGCAGTCTCACGTTTAATTGCAGCGCACTCGCACCTCACGCATCACTCGTAACTTGGCTGTCTTTCTTACCCAACCTTTGATGGTCTAAGTTTCGAGTAAACTGCAGTCAAGTGGTTTCTTAGACAATAAAAAGGACAATAATTTAATTCTCCGTTGCCTACAACTTCCGCTCAATCAGTAGATAAAAAACAATGGCACAAAAGCCTTTGATGTTAGTGTCACTCAGTGAGTACATGTTTATGAGGTAAACTTGATACGTACACCCAAAATCCTAGCTATCACTATGTGCGGCATTCAAAAGACAAGCGGTCAAAACTGAATCGCCATTATAAGATAGACTTCTCCCTTGCACATGTTAAGCTTCACTTGCGTCATATCAACCACTCCAAGACATCAGCATCTGGCCAAGCGAGTGCTGGTGTTGTGATAAACCATAGCACTAGACAAATTTTCATATGGTGTGGTGGGACTGTGCTTGCAAACCGACTGGGCACGACTGAGATAATTGCAACTTATCTGTCTTTTGCCGTATGCTCCCGTGGATTGCAACAGAACCACCACAAACTACATCGAATTCCGTTTCCTCAACAAACATCATAATCCTAATCAAGAATTTTGATCCTGAGTGGTTAGACCACCGCTCATTTCTTTCGTTCTGATGCTACCTGACCTTTCACGGATTCGCTTGAGTGTTGAGCCCCGTCATTTACGCTTTTGATTCTCCTCTGCTATTGTTCGTTCAAGTGTATCCGTATGCTTTCTGTGTACATAGTGGCGTTTTATCTTTCCGGTACCATATTATTATTCGCCGTTGTTTTGGAATCAGATACACCACGGTGACGTCCCGATTGAGCCTGTGTTGTTTGAAAGTTTACTTTGGCTTGGATTATCATACGAATGTGACAACACCCCGACTTCGGGGTGATCAATTATATCAGGTCAGAACAGCTGAATGCACCGCAAAATAGTGCACGCCGAATTCCAGAACACGGACGTGTTATGTCCTGTCTAGAGCACAGATGCGATNCCGATGTTGATAAAGCTACGGAACCATTATTCTGATGTACATTTGCACCCAAATTTCCCATGACCAGCAGGACATTTAGACCTGATTAAAAGTTTATTAACTCGGTCTATGGATTTCAGAATGGGAAAGTTCATCGAAATATGATGCATCGCACCTGTCGAGCCTACATCCCGGTGACCACTCCCATTATTAGTACTTATTGGTTTTACATACCTCATAGCGAATTCTGTCTGCGCTGAGCTTTATAATATATATTAGTTTCAGTTTGTAAAACCATTAACTATGCACTTTCGCGAGTCGGTTTTCGTTGCTGTCATTTGCTTACCCATTTGGATGAATCAGTGAGGGAAAGACAGAAACGTTAAAGTAGAGCGAGAAAATGGCGAACTTCAGTAGACTAAGGTGGCAAAGAAATTGAGATGCAGGAGCGCTACTGTTTACGACACCCAGTCATACCAATCAGTTTCTGACCACCAGTTACCACGATCTCGAGGTCCCCGTCCACGGGGCCTATCGATACCTATTCGACTAAGTCTCTTGGTTAGTGTTTTCATACCCCCGTGCCAGATCTTACTTTCACCACTCTTGGTTTTTCCCCACCCTGCCTCGGGAAACATCACGTGCCGTGGCAAACTATTTAGTGACATACGTAACACATGCCCTAACCCACATAATCAATGGAGGTCGACCACTTGCTCCAGTGGGCGACCGCGGTTACCAAAACCTGTGCCTAACCTCGGCATTCATCATCAGCATCATTGTACTGCAAAATACAGTGAGGCGCACTTCATTGGTCGCTGCCAAACTCGCAATGCATGCAAGGTTAGTGGTAAAATTTAAGATGGAAAGGGATTGGATCTACTCTGAGGGAGAGGGAAGGTGAATCTATATGATCAGCACACAGAGCACACAATCGAACTCTGTATGCATACCGTTTCAAGCGTTCTAGTCTGATAAGAAATGACAACAACAACGTCACCACTGTCGGCTCGCAGTCATATCCTTCAATGCCTCCTAACAATAGGTTGTGAAGTCTTTCGGTCCCTAACCCGGAAGGTGAGAGATACCTACTGTCCGTAATGGCTTTGTGCACCTCTTCATGCCTCGTTTCCACGTCATCTGTCGACCTTCACGTGCTTTCGTCTAGCTCGAGGCGGTTACGGCGAATAAGGCGCGATGTGGCAGACGCTAGCATCACATACGCAATACGTGCCCAAGCCAAAGAAGTCTACTGATCTGAATTCGATGTGCTAGGTTTATCCCCGATATATTCCCAGCCACACGACAGCTTACCTCCAGATTACCAATCCGTTCGCTCCATAAAATGTAGGCTAAGCTACGTAAAGAAGGGAAAGTGAAAACTTCTAGTAGTTGGCTATCTATTACCCGCAAATACAAGGTCTCATGACCATGAAGCAGAGCTGAAGGACTGCTACCTTAATACCGTGCGATTG